ATAGATAGCTTTTGGCTTGTTACTGGACCTTAGTAGAGACTGCATGCTTAACCATGGGACACCAAGTCACCACACAGCCTGAGCTGGGTGTGTCTGACCCACAGAGTCATAAAGTTGAATGTGCACAGCAGCACTCCGTCATTAAGTGGAAGTGGTATATATGAAATTGGGCCCAGGCAGGACCTGATGGCACAAGTAAGTTGCGGGAGGAAGTGGCCCAAATGCCCATGGTCTCCACTCCTGTCACATTACCTTCCATCTCCCAGTCTGCACCTATGGCCTCATGGGATATTCCTTATTATCAGTTGATTGAAGAAGAGAAAACTTGTGCCAGTTTATAGATGGCTCTGCATGATATGCAGGCACCACTCAAAAGTGGACAGCAGCGGCACTACAGCCCCTTTCTGGGACTTCCCTGAAGGACAGCATTGATGGAAAATCCTCCCAATGGGCAGAACTTCAAGTAGTGCACCTGGTTGTTAACTTTGCTTGACAGGAGAAATGGCCAGATATGCGATTGTATGCTGATTCATGGGCTGTGGCCAATTGTTTGGCTGGATGATCAGGGACTTGGAAGGAACACGATTGGAAAACTGGAGACTAGGATTTATGGGGAAGAGCTATGTGGATAGACCTCTCTGAATGGGCCAAATAAGTGAAGATATTCGTGTCTCATGTGAATGCTCACCAAAGGGTGGCCTCAGCAGAGGATGATTTTAATAATCAAGTGGATAGGATGACACGTTCTATGGAAACCAGTCATCCTCTTTCCCCAGCTACTCCTGTCATTGCTCAATGGGCTCATGAACAAAGTGGCCATGGTGGCAAGGATGGAGGTTATGCATGGGCCCAGCAACATGGACTTCCACTCCCCAAGGCTGACTTGGCTACAGCCACTGCTGAGTGCCCAGTCTGCCAGCAGCAGAGACCAACTCTGAGTCCCCAATATAGCACCATCCTTGAGGTGATCAGCCAGCAACCTGGTGGCAAGTTGATTACATTGGACCACTTCCATCATGGAAAAGGCGGCATTTTGTCCTTACCGGAATAGACACTTATTCTGGATATGGATTTTCCTTCCTTACACGCAATGCTTCTGCCAAAACTATCATCTGTGGACTTACAGAATGCCTTATCCACCATCATGGTATCCCACACAGCATTGCCTCAGATCAAGGGACTCACTTCACAGCAAATGAAGTGTGGCAGTGGGCCCATGCTCATGGAATTCACTGGTCTTACCATGTTCCCCACCATCCTGAAGCAGCTGGCTTGATAGAACAATGGAATGGCCCCCTAAAGACACAATTACAGCACCAGCTAGGTGGCAGTACCCTGCAGGGTTAGGGTAATGTTCTCCAGGAGGCTGTAGATGCTCTAAACCAGCATCCAATATATGGTGCTGTTTCTCCTGTAGCCAGGATTCATGGGTCCAGGAATCAAGGGGTGGAAACGCAAGTGGCATCACTCACTATTACCCCTAGTGACCCACTCGCAAGATTTTTGCTTCCTGTTCCCGCGACCTTATGCTCTGCAGGTCTGGAGGTCTTAGTTCCAGTAGGAGGAATGCTCACATCACTGATTCCAATGAACTGTTAGCTAAGAATGCCACCTGGCCACTTTGGGCTCCTTATGCCTCTGGATCAACAGGCAAAGAAGGGAGTTACCATATGGGCTGGTATGATTGATCCTGATTACCAAGAGGAAATCGGATTGATGATATACAATGGAGGTAAAGAAAAATATGTCTGGAATGCAGGAGATCCCTTAGGGTATCTCTTAATACTACCATGCCCTGTGATTAAAGTCAATGGAAAACTACAGCAACCCAATTCTGACATGTCTACTAATGGCCCAGACCTTTCAGATATGAAGGTTTTTGTCACTCCACCAGTTAAAGAACCACAACCAGCTGAGATGCCTGCTGAGGGCAAAGGGAATAGGGAGTGGGTGGTGGAAGAAAGAAGTTCTAAATACCAGTTAAGTCCACGTGACCAGTTACAGAAATGAGGACTGTAATTGTTATGAGTATTTCTGCTTGGTATGTGTGCATCAAATATTTTTGTTTTCTTCACTTATAAGATGTAAATGGAGCTAGTGCATTTTCAGTTGTACACGTGTTAGTTGTATCCTGTTAGGTGCAAGTATGACTTTGTAATTGTCTTTATTCAGAGATTATGTATGGTTTGGGGAGATGTGTACAGGTGCCAGGTTGTCAAGGGGTGGACTGTGATGGTTAAGGTTATATGTCAACTTGGCTGCGTCATGATTCTCAGTGTTTATATGTGATCACCCTTGTGACGGGATCTGCTGTGCGTAGCCAGTCCGTTGAAAGGCAGTTTCCTTGGGCACGTGGCCTGCATCCAAGTAAAAGTGGACATTCTGGCTTTGGCCTGCTCTGGATCCTGCAGGTGCCTCCTGTTCATCTGACCTCTGGTTCTTGGGACTTGAGCTAGCGGCTTATCTGCTGATCTTGGGATTCATCAATCTTCACAGCCTGTGAACAAGAGCCCTGCTCGCTGACCTGCCAATCTTGGGTTTGCCAGCCCCTGTGGCTACGTGAATCACGAGAAGCCTCTATCCTGATCCACGGACTTGGAACGTTCCAGCCTCTACAATCACATGAGCCGTTTCCTTGATTTAAATCTCTCTCTCTATATATATATATATATATATATATATATTTATACTCTTTACTGGTTTTGCTTCTCTAGATAACCCAGCCTAAGACAGGGTGTCATAGATAGAGGTATACTAGTCCTTTTGGCTCATCCACACCCAGGTCCAGGCCCAATTCGTTTATTCATTCAGACTCTTCTTAACACAAGTGAGAAAAATTTTTGAACAAATCAATGCTGTTATAAGATCAGATGGGACAAAATACAAAGAACAGGTGGTATGCAAGCATATGTCTGGGAGACAAAACTTGCCTGAGGGAGTCAGGAAGCCTCAGTGAAAGCCAGAGTTGATCCTTCACTAGGAATCACTTCCCATCAGCAAAGAGGCTTTGGAGATAACCTGCTGCCCCACACCAAGTTACTGAGGTACCCTGAAGAAGCATTTAGCCTCCTTCACACTTAGCATTCACCTTACCGTCCAGGGCCAGATCCTTTAGAGATGATCAAAATGCCTAACTGAACTTTCTTATTTGGATCTGTCCTTGTTGCCCAGTTTCTACCACATTTTTCCCTCTTGGGACTGCAGCCTAGACCTTAAACCAACCTAATCTATCAGCCCCTTTCTCTAATCCCAGATCCTGCTTACAATATCCCTTACATCAGCTTGGATTTTCCTGACAGTGGACCCAGGTGCCCACCTCACATTTGAAATCAAAGACACTTAGAAGGATTTGTCTTACAGTCTGTTGCTGCCCCATGGGACCAGTGACTGGCTATACTGCTGGCCCCTGCAGCCCAGCTCAGGTTTCTGTGCCTTGGTCCTTGTTGGTGCCCTTCTTGGCCCAGCAAGCTATGTAGCTGCACTAGCAAAGCTTGTGACAGAAGGGCTCAAGGAAGCCTATATCCTAAGGTCAGGCTCATTTCTAGATGTCTATCCCTGGATGCCAGATATTTGCCCTCATCGACCTTTGACACCTTCTGTCTTGTTATTTGCCTTCTGGTCCCTGACTCTCAGCTTGGCATTGACCATGGTTAATTTCTTGCTTGACCTTCTCGTTTCCAGCCCTTCAGTCTCTTTTTATCCACTGGAGCACTGACCCTCTGTTTTGCCATCCAGGACTCTAACACCTACCTGGAGGTCACTCAGTCTGGGGTCCTTTTTTGCCCATCCTTTGTCCAAGAGCATCTTATTTTAGCTTTAGCATGCAGAGAAGGTACATAAAGCTTAGTCTCCTGACCCTTCTCAATCGGTAGCAATGGTAGATTTGTGTATTCTTTCCTGTATTTGAGTCAAGGTCACAGGTGGAGGTTAATGTTTTCTGGTCTCGTTGGTACCAAAAAGGAAGTTTTAAGAGTAAAAATAAATTCCAGAAGCACTCTCTGTCTCTGACACATGTTTTGACCTTGTGAGGCTCTCCATCACTACTTGTTATACAGATCAGGGCCAGGTAGACTGGAAAGCAGAAAATGCAGTGTAAGTTACACCTATGGCGTCTATTTTTGCACCCACTTGACTTTCACACTGTTAACCACCTAATTCTTTGAAAACAATTACCATGCTATAAAGCTTTAGAGTCTATGCAACAGTCCTAAAATGATAATAATAGCACTTAATTTTATTATTTATGAAATAACAATACCAGGCACTTTGCCATGCACTTCAAACATGGATTATCTCATTCAGTCTTCACAACAATCTTGTGAAGTAGGTGCTATTATTATTTTCATTTTATACACGAGAAAGACACAGAAGTTAAGTAACTTGCCTGACATTTCCAAAGCAATAAGTGATGGAGTCAAGATTTGAACTCGGGCAGTCAGACTCTGTAGAGCCCTATAACCATTAAGGTTTTGTTTGGTTATTATTTTCTCAAACAGACTGGCTTTTTTGTGCTGAAGAATATGTTCTGTTTTAGAAAATTGTCTTGAAATGTGTAGGAACTTTCATTCTTATGATAGTAACTTCCTAGATATGACATACCAATTTTAATTATTATTGTTATACATTTCAGAATTCATTTTATAAAGCTTTCGGATAAACAAATACTCATAAATAATGGGGGTGGCTATGGAAGAGTTCACTATTTCAGGATGAGTACCTCAGTTTTTCATTTCACTTGGTGTCTAAGCTTGAAGCATGATGTATTCCATATATTTCTCCTTGTTAACAGTTTACCATTTGTCAGATATATTTGAAATTATAATTTTAGACTGATCTAAGAACCAAAAAATCTACTGGTCTAGAGATGTGACGAACTTCAGCTGAACTCTTTTGTTAGTAGTAATGACAACTGGATTCTACTTGTTAGAGAGAGGTAGTGTAAGGGAGGGAGCAGAAGCGTTTTTTAAAATAAAACTTCTACCTTCATGTTCTTAAAACAGAGCCTACTTATTCTTTGCCAAAGCAGCTGACATGGGAAACTTGAAAGCTATGGAGAAAATGGCTGATGCTTTGCTATTTGGAAATTTTGGCACGCAAAACATAACGGCAGCTATCCAATTATATGAATCCTTGGCTAAAGAAGGATCATACAAAGCTCAAAACGTGAGTCTTGAAAGGAAATGAAACCTTAAATAGCTACATTCTGAAATAACTGTAGACAAATAACATGTGAAAGGAGTTAAGCAGTAGTATTCCCGCTGTAACACATGAACCCAGGCCCAGGGAAGTTAATGTACTGCTGTAAATTAGTGGTTTCAGGGCAGGATCAGAACCGCTTTCTAATCCACCTTCCTATCTTCCATGTCTATGTGTGTGTATTGAGATAATTTGAGACCTCTGAATCCCTAGCACAGTTAAATTTTATATACAATGTATTCATCTACATATACAAAGAAATCTAGAATTAAATCTATTATTTTATGGTAATAAGTTTTTCTAGTTTTTAATTTCAAATATTTTATAAGCTAAATATATTTCTTTTTCTATTTTAATAAGTGTATTTTATTTTATTCTGAGAATAACATAACCATTTCATAGAAAATCTGGAAAACAGGAAAAAAGAAGAAAAAAAAAAAACGCCCTTTGTAAGCCCACCATTCTGATGGCAGTCATTGTTAGGACTTCTCTGTATTTTGTTTTGCTTGGCTTCTTTCTCTGTGCATCTCTCTTTTTAAATGGTCCTAATCACAATGCAGATGCATGTATCATTTTGTTTGTAGCTACTTTCACTTAATGCTATGTAGCAAAAGCATGTTTTCATGTTGCTACAGTCTCTTTTTAAGGACTCCCACTCAAGGAAGGCCCGATGCTGCCCTGCGGTTTCTGTGCTATATCCACCTACACAGACAATTCGTCAGTGTAGCCTATGGGAGTCTTAGGAGTCTGTACGTGTAGTTGAACTTAAGAAGATCCCCTGATGGGTGAGGCAAGCTTTCTTGCCTTTCATCTGTAAAGCTGGATAATGATAAACTCTGGTACTGCATCTGTCTGGTTCACTGCTGTATCTCTAACATTTAGCACAGTGCCTGGAACAAGAAACACAGTTTGAATGTTGAATTCATTAACTAGTTAATTAATGATGAATGAGTTAACGGGGAGTTTTCATGTGGATTAAAATAATTTATAAAGACACTTAGTTCCATACCTGGAACAATATAAACACTCATTATAAAGAAAGGATATAAATACTATTACTTCTACTATTCCTCTAGAATTTTTCCTATGAGTGTATAGAATTATCTTTTACAAAAATGAGGTCATATTTTAATTCCTGTTACCTAGCCTGCTCTTTATTCACCTAACAACATAGACATCTTTTCGTGTAAGTATATACAGATCAACATCACCATTTTAAATATCCATATAATCTTCTTTAAGTTGTTGAACAGTTTTTACCCCAAGGGATTTTTTTTTTTTGCAATTATATATAAAATAATGCAATAAACAGATTTTTAAATGTTACAACAATATATGATAGAATTGTTAAATCTTCATTTCCCCATATTTGATGAATCAAAAATATAAAATTTCAAGACAGACCAAATTCTACCATCACTTTCACCACTAAATATGACATTACATAATTTCTTTCTAAACTAGTGAACATGTGCTTTATTTTTCAGTGGGTGTATTAATTAATTAAATCCACAACTTGGATACCTACTATGGGTTAAACATAATCTAGGTTGATGGGGAGAAAGGTATTAACAGGTCAAAGTCCTTACGGGTAATCTGAAATGTGAACAAATCATTGCAGCACAAGCTTTAGGCACAGAAGAGGGTCTGACTGGCTCTGCCTGGGGCAGGTAGGAAGGCTTCAGGGAAGAAGTGGCATTTGCACTCGGTCTAAAATAAGGAATAAATGCAACATCAAGGATTTTTATTGTCTGTATTTAAATAAAGCATTTGCTACAAGGTAAAAATATTACTCCCAGAAAAGAAACTCTGATTAACATGACTGGTACATAAAACCCATGGATTTTAGAACTAAAGCAGGAGTTTCACTCCACATACTCCAGTTCATGTGGTTTTATTGCATGGGCACAGACCACTTTCTAATCCTAGTTAACTGATCATAAATTGCTAGCCATTTGGTTTTAAGGAGAATCAGGTGGAGAATGTAATTGGCTGAGCACTCACCCAGTGCCGCGAGGAACAACTCTGAGTGCATGACTAACCTGGTGCCATCGAGTCAATTCTGACTCATGGCACCCCTATGTGTTACAGAGTAGAACTGCTCTGTAGGGTTTTCTTGGCTGTAACCTTTATGGAGGCAGGTCACCAGACCTTTCTTCCTTGGAGCTGCTGGGTGGGTTCAAACCACCAACCTTTAAGTTAGTAGTTGAGTACAAAATGTTTGCACCACCACTACTGGTCATGTATTGGCACAGCTGTCTTGGTACAGAAAGGCAGGCATGGTTGGGACAGTTTTAGGAAATACACAGTTACAGACTTCAGGGTAGCATGATGTGGTAGCAGAGCAGGGATTCCAGAATCAGAAAGTTGAATCATGTTTGAGTCATATTCTGCAACCTAATGGCTCCTTCATCTTTTGTGCATTCTTTTGATATCCCTAAAGAACTTATTAATGAGCCCTTAGCAAATTTTAAAGAACATTTTAACTAATGAATAAGGCTGCTAAGCAATTTTAGCCCCAACAACATTGTCTTTGGAGTCAGTCAGTCCTTGCTTTACATCTCAGCTCCAACACTCAGCTGATGTGCCCTCTCTGCATCTCAATTTTCTCATCTATAAAATGGGGAAAATCTGTCCAGTAAGTGTGTTGTGTTTGGTCTCAAGGAGGACCAGAAGACAGAACATAAATGGGTATAAGATACAGCCTATTCCAGCTGGAGGTAAATAAGTTAGGTATTTTTTATTTCTCTAATTCTTTTTCAAGAGGCAGAAATTCAGAATTAGCAAGACTCACTCTTTTTTTGATACCAGTGAACTGTTTTCAAAAAAATATTGCCCATTAATTTGCCAAACAAGAAGATAGGGTTAAGCCTTATTTGCTTTATAATCCAGAAATGGATCATTTACATCGTATCACCCTAAAAATTTAACTTAATGGTGGTAATCTCAAAGTGGTGGTACTGTTTGTGGGTATTATATTCCTTTTTTAAATACTTCTATGTTTTGTTCTCCAGATTTTCCATGAGTATATATTAGTTTTGATATTAAAAAAATTATTTAACTTAGATACATGTACTTACTTAGTTACAGAGTTCAAAAATAGTTTTACTGTGAATTATAAGAAAATCCATTCTATTATATATGTTGTTGCCATCAAATCACCTCCTAGTCACGGCGACCCCATGTATATCAGAACAAAACTTTGCCCAATCCTGAGACATCTTCATGATCGTTGGTATGTTTGAGTCCTTTGTTGTGGCTGTTACGTCAGTTCACCTCATTGAGGGTTTCCCTTGCCTTGACCGGCCTTCCGCTTTACCAAACATGATATCCTTCTCCAGCAATAGATCTCTTCTGATGATATGTCCAAAATAAGCTAGTTGAAGTCTCAGACAATATTCTGTGATCCATAGGGTTTTCATTGGCTAATTTTCAGAAGTAGATATGCTTTCTTCCTGGTCTGTTTTAGTCTGGAAGCTCCACTGAAACCTGTCCACCCTGGATGACCCTGCTGATATTTGAAATATCAGTGGCATAGTCCGGCATCACAGCAACACACAAGCTGCCACAGTACAACAAAATGACAGATGGGTGGTGCCAATTATATATAACCACAATCACATATAAAGGAGAAAGGATCTGAGGGACTACGTGTCTTACCATGGTTTGTGATTATGGAATACTTCTATATTAAAAGCAGAGATTCTACATATTCTTTATTTATTTCAGATTTGAATTATGGAAGTGTTTCCCCGAGGGACTATAGTTATTAGCACTGAGCTACTACTGAAAAAATCGTTTTTAGTAACAACTTAATGATCTTTTTCATAATTCTAGGGTTACCTGTGTCAGCATTTTCTCTTGATGTGAGTGTTCTTTGTATTAAGAGTACAGACAGTATCTGAGTTGTTCATTAGCTTTGATTCACACTCTTGTTTGGTATACAATTTGAGCTAAAAGTAATGATCACAGATGCTTTCAAGCCTTGTACAATAATTAAAGGAGGATTGCTTAATCTTTTTTCTCTCTTAATAATAATTTCTTACATAAGAAGCAAAAGGAGAAATACTTAATTTTTAAATTGTTATTATGAAACCTGAGTAATTTCCTTTAAAATATAATAAAACATTCTTACACTTAACTCTTTCCATTCAAATCCCAGCGACTATTAAAAAAAACTCATTGCCATCGAGTTGATTGCAACTCATAGCGATTCCGACTCACAGTGACCCTATAAGGAGCTCTGGTGGTGCAGTGGTTAAGCGTTCAGCTGCTAACCAAAAGGTCAGCAGTTCAAATCCACCAGCTGCTGCTTGGAAGTACTATGGGGCAGTTCTACTCTGTCCTATAGGGCCACTATAGTTGGACAGCTACTATAACACTTCCTTAAAAGCCATAACACAATGGTTAAGTTCAGAATCAAGTCTTATTAAAAAAAATCTAATTTGCAAGCTTGACCTTTAAAAACTACAGGAAGTATCATTAATGTCTTCACTATTATGTAGCTTCTCTTTCAACTCACAGCAATTTCTTTTCTGGATTAAGATTTAATCATTCTATAATCCATCTCATTTCATCTCATCTTTATATTAGGAAGAGACCAAATACTAAAAATTGATTATTGTGAAGTTATTAGGTAGCAATGCACAAGGGTAAAGGAATAAGACAGCACTGACTATAATCAATATGTTTATTACATGACAGCCCATAATGTCTTTTGACTTCCTGTAGTGCCCTGCTATGCTTTAAGCAGAGTAAAAAACAAAATGGAAGTTGAGCCCTCCAGAGAATTAATTCAAAATAACTCATTGTTATTTTTCTGCTAAAGAGAGAGGAAGCATGCCCTTTGGGCTGGTTATCCAAGGCTGGTAAAATCATGGTTTTCCATTCTTACTTAGAATGAGCTTTATACAGAGGAAAGCTCCCCTCCCTGGTCACAGAATGGAAGGTCACAAATTCATGACCTT